CCGCCGCACGAACCACATTGCTTCATACTTGCTCCAAACACCAGCTCGACTCGACTCAATCCGTTCAGTCAAGTTCAGTTCACACTACCAAGCCCCCCCCTGGTTTTCAATCTCTTACATATTAAGCAACCTGGGATCTTAAAGCTATAGTATAGCCTAATTTTAAAGTCGATTTAAATGCAATAATCTTAAAACAACCTTCCCCTGAGAGAAAAAAAAAAGAAGATCTAAAATAACCTTTAAAAGATAAACAAATCATCTTTAGATTTTATTCCCCCCCCCCTGCTGGCGTGCGCAGGGCTAAATTGATTATTTTTTTTAGACGCTCGAAAAAAAAAACTTTTCTTTTAGGCGGCGTAGCCGCCGAAACATCAAGAAAAAAAAATAATCAAAAAAAATGAAAGCAAATCCTGCAAACCATTAGGCATGTGGGGGGGGGGGGGGAGGGGCGTAGCCGGGCTAAATAGTATGAACCTGTTTCAAAGTTATTTACGATAACTCTATTATTAATACCAAATTTAACAAGAAAATCTTTCTTAAAAGCTCAATGATATATCAATAAAGTTTCATCCTTATCATACATAAACCTTTTTTTAGTATTATATTTTGGTAGGTTCACTACTCTAGATGTATTTAAATCGAATGAAGGATCCCATAAAGAGTATTGTTCTAACATAAGTTCACTTTTAAAAATTACAAAAGAATTAATAGGTATAACTTCTAAACTAAAGTTTTGTAAACCTTATTCACTTAAAAAAGGCTAAATATTCACCATACTATTTGTAAGTACCCCCTAAGTCTTTTTATAATATAGTAGATAATTGTAAAGAAGAACCTACACAATTATAACCTGTCTTTAATCGTAATTACAATTGTACCGGTCATCGCTAATAATAGTATTAAACTTACTAATAAAAGCCAGATATTATAATTAGTATACATTACGTTACCAATAGAAGTAATATCGCTATTTTCAATAAGAGCACCATCTCATATTTTACTTGTTACAAAATTTATATCATCACTATATGTATTTAAATCCACTTTTTTATTATCTTGATTAAAATAAATATTATATAAAATATTGTTTAAATTATAATAGTTATTTAATATAGCAATATTGTAAGGTAATAATTGAAATATAGGGTAATTAAAAGATATCGCTATAGCAATAGCTAAAGGTATACTACTACTAGTATTGCTTTGTAATTCACTTATCCTAATATTTATTAACATTAAAATAAACAAAAACAATATAGATCAATTCTAATCAACTTAAGATAAGTAAAGTGGTTAATTAAGGCTAAACTTATCAAGGAGTTACTATCATACATGCTAATGATCATCCATTCTACTATAAATTGGTAGTTATGGATTGTCCTTCCTCCTTATGAAGATTAAATTCTTCATTTTAGAATCCGACTGTACATTTGAACAGGTATTCCAACCTAACTCTAGTAAACCAGTCTGTAGCGACATTTACAACTGCCGACGGTCTTTGATCAGGATATCCTTGACCGTTTTTACTTAATTTTTCTACAAGTTTGGAATAGTACAGTTGTAACTTTCTTTCTAAACCTACCTTTTTAATTATTATATTTTCCTTTATTTTAGAGGCACGTCACTAATTAACGATAAAAAAAACAGCCACTCTTATAATTTTATTACCTTCAATTATAGCGAAACCCTCTGTCCAGATGAAGAATCTAAATGTCTCCTTACTGTTATAAATTCTGCATTTAAAATTTAAGCCGCATCATTTAATGTAGAAGCTAAAATATTTATCCCTTATTTTAGCTATTTAAAAGACACAATTATTTAAACGTCTATTCACTACTTTTCTAGTTATATCATCTAATAGACGACCATCACTTAAGTGTGTAATAGTGGGTTTTGCATTTATTATTTTGTCTATGCTTCCCTTAGGTAAAGGAGAGATTTCGTTTCCTAGCCTGCGTACTGGTAAGTGTGAGGGGGGGGGGTGCCGGCACTCCTTCGGTGTCTTCTTTATTGACCCTCTAAAAAAGTTTTACAGGGTCAAGCAAAGAAAACTATCAAAGCGCAGGCGCGCCCAAAGGGCTTAAAAAAATTAAGGCTTGCCTTAACTTTTTTTTTAGACCCAGAAGGGGAACTGGGTGGGGGCGGAGGGATATGATGTAAATGAAAATTAATTCTATTATTATTCATTCCTTTTTTAATTGTTAACGATTGATCAATAAGAGTTTTTTTATCTTTTATATTATTCTCATAATATAAATGAAAAGCTTTTTCAAAATCTAAATAATAAAGGTATTTAGTTGTGTTTAAATCATATCTATCAAATATAGATATTAACTTGTTAATATCTTCCTTATGTATAATAGTAAATTTACAACTATCACCATATAACGGCTATACCATCACCTATATTAAATTTACTTCTTATATATTTTAAAGTATTTATGTAATTCGATACTAAATCTAAAACTAGCTCATGTAATATCTCCATCTTTATTTTTTTTTTGAAATACTACAGTGAAATTAGATTCTCCATCTGAAAACCCTACGAATCATTTAAGAAACTCTTCATATTCTTCATCAATACAAGACTGATTAGATTAAATTTCTTACCTACTCATAAGGATAGTCTATTCCGCCTGCGGAGAAGTCGCTATAAAAGAATAATTAGAGGTAGCTACCTCTAATCCTACGAATAGGCGCAAGCTCGAAAAATTTAATTAGGGCCGCGGGGCCTTGAAAGAACCTTGTAGAGTTGGACTTGAACCAACCCGGCTTTGTCTCACACATATCTTACTACCGCTCCAATGTATACAATTAGATATGATAAACCTATAAAACTTAAACCTAACATTATTAAATAACAAGAAATATTCGCAAATAAACCTATTAAAAAGAGCACTGAGACTATAGGGTTTTTACTAATAATAACAAGTATACCACATAAAATAGCCAATAATGATATAATATCTAATGTAGGGGTCACTAAACCTTACTTCTTTTTTCGTGCCCTCCGAACCGGACGTGATAGTTTCCCATCATCAGACGATAGCGTCTTTTTACGGCTCTCCATCGGTGCCTAGCCTTGTAAACTCACGTATATAAGTATCTTCTATCAGAATCAAACATAGAGCTAAAGTTTGTGTGTTCTAGTCTTGTATGGTCATAATCATAGATACCACGCTCTATACATTAGGGTGCGTGTCCTGAGCATACCCAGTGGTTCCCGCCCTAAGGCTGATATCTCACCATTTCTCGTTTCTGATAACGGATTACAACCTATTTGTAAGAGAGAATATTCCAAACTTTTCTCTCCGGCCCCCCCCCCCTCTCTCCCCCTGGGGAGTAAAAAAAAAAATAAGGTGAAACCTTATTTTTTTTCGCCCCGGCCCCCCCCGGTTAGCAAGCTAGGGGCCCTGGAGGGGTAAGAAAATCTTAAACAATCCTTAAATGATAGATAAATTATATTTAGACTTTACTTTTTTTTTCCTCTTAGATTTTCTTGACCCCGACGGGGGTCAAGAAAGAAAACACCGGAGGAGGGAGAGACCTTCAATCTCCATAATATGTGCATCGACTGGTCCACTTTTGTAGAGGTTTACTTTCTCTAACTTTTTCACGAGTTAAAGCGTAAATCCCGTATTGGACCTCCGTTTGCGGAGTCTTTGACCTTACCGCGTAAATCCTATGGTTGCAGTACTATAGCGTTTAAGGTCATAATTGATTTAGGTTTGTGCCGATTTTAAATTTACCCGGCGTAGCCGTAATTGCTTCTCCCTTAACCAATTTGGTACTGTTTATCGATATATTTAAAAGTACTATTGGGAGACCATCTCCGCTATATTTCTACTTTGGGAAGATGAGCATAAATAGTTGCAGCTATCGGTAGGGGATACCTCACATTTCTTAACGTAACCATGTCAATCCACCCTCCTCTCGTACATTACACTAGTAGACTTCATGTTTACGAGTTTTTCTCTATTCTGCTATAAGACCAAGTTCTTATTGGGAATCTTTGGCCTCGAATAGACGGGCTAGCATATCTTAGCTCAGATACATCCAATTATGTTCTATCGTTCTAAGATAAATTGGTAATTGCCAAAGGTCTCTGACTAAGACCCTTTCTATAGTAAGCCTCACATAGCGCACATATCTGTTTTATAACCATTTGTGTAAGTTTCGTATATAATAAGCAAACTATTCATATTTAGATATCTTCTCTTTTTTACCTTCGTAAAGGATGAATTACAAGAGTACTCAGATTTGAACTGAGAATTTGGAGGTTGAAGCTCCCTATTTTACCATTAAACTATACTCTTAAAAAAGTATATTTCAGTTTTGAAATTGAAACCAAAAGCGGAAAAGAGGTGATTCGAACACCTATATGTAATTATACACAATATTTAGCAAATATTTCACCCTACCAATAGCAACTTTTCCTTGCTTATTTCACCGCGTTTAAGATATGTATCTTAATAGGTATAAGGGGGGGGGGGTAAAATAGTGTAAAAACTTCCGAACTAGAACGGGCCCTTCACCTCTTGGAGGCCCAAGCTCCGACGATAATTATATATACACCAATTTAGCTGTCTATGTCCCGCCCACGCCCCTGGCCTTCATTCAAGGTTTACTTACCTTGAATGAAGGCCATTAACTTTACCGACTCCGCTGTCTAAAAAAAAAGGACTTTATCCATTAGTAGCTAGTGAACCGAATTAGAAGGGTCTCGAACCCTCATCTACCTCCGTGACAGGGAAGTCCTTTACCAATTAAGTTACTAATTCTCACATTACGGCCAGTCGAATCATGAGTGGAAATCCTCGTCTACCATTAACCGTTAAAGCAAGCCTATTGCTTAAACATGGGCTGAACTTAGGGTTTATACACCTATAACCCCCCCCCCGTTATAAACCAAGCTGGAAGTTCTACCTCTACAGTTGTTATCAAAGTAGAGAAGAACTCTCTGTGTGCCTAATCTTGTTGAAACATAATGGACCTCTAACCTCTGATATGCTTTTTTTGTATATTAAATAACGAATTAACATATAGAGTAACTAAACTACCATCTAAGCCTAGATATATAACCATTATAAGTAGCGAAGCGTACATACGCAGGCTCCTGATCCGAAGGATATGGGCGGCGTAAAAAAAAAATAGATTATAGAATAATCTATAAATGATAAATAAATTATATTTAGTAATCCTACGAATAAGCAAGCTCTTATTTTCTTTCACTCGTACCTCCTTTCACTTTCGTCTGGTAATCCCCAGTATTCATATTACTTATTCACCCTAGCAATCTACGGCCAGTCGAACTCGAATCGACATTTTATGATTGGAAGTCATCCTATCTACCAGTTGATATATGGCCGTTAATTAAGTTGATTTAGTTCATTTAGGATATACGAGATTCGAACTCACATAATGATGATTAAAAGTCATATGCATTACCCTTATGCTAATATCCCTTAAATCCTTTATGCGTATCTATAAATTTTTGCTGCGAAGCACCAAAAAACAAAATCTTAAATAATCTACAAACGATAAATAAATTGAAATTAGATTTTTTTTTATTTTTTTTATGCCTTCATTTTTTTTTTATTTTATAATAATATTTATCCAATCCTTCGACCATGGCATGGTCCAAGGACCGTGGGTATGGACCAGCCAGACCGGGCTCCTCCGGTGTTTTCTTTCTTGACCCTCTGAGGCGAAGCTACCCATTCAATATATTTAGTGATAAATATACCTTGAATGAAGGCAAAAATAGCAGGGTCAAGAAAAGAAAACTAGGGTGAAAAATTAATTATTAAGAATAATAAAAAAAAATTTTTTAGTTTTCTTACTTGACCCTGACGAGGGTCAAGTAAGAAAACACGCGCGAAAAAAAAATAAGGCTTGCCTTATTTTTTTTTCCATTGCGCGAGAGCAGACAGAAGGGGAACGATGAATCAAACATCTTTCATGCTCTTTCTTTAAGGATTATTAACCTCTACCCTAAGAACTAATTAATACCTTAGCTAAGATATGTATTATTATAACACTAACCAAAATATATGTTCTGAAAAAACACACAAATTAGTACGCCCCCAAGATGAATCGAACACCTATTGTTGCATTAACAGTGCAAAGCTCTACCGTTGAGCTATGGGGGCTAAAAAGTTACTTCTAACCACCCCCCTCCCTCGGTGTTAAAAAAAGAATAAAAACTAAAATCTTGAGTAATATATAAATAAATATGTTCCAATTTAGATTTGGTTTTTATTTTTTTTTGTACGCAAGCTGTATCCTCCGGGTCAGAACCTACATAAATTTCATTATAATTATACCATCCTTAAATTTTTAGACACCTCTATACGTTAATTATTAGTGTTTTATCTATCTAATAATTCAATAATTATCTTTTTACTAATCACTAGCGAAGCGTAGGCTAAAAAAATTAAGGCATGCCTTAATTTTTTTTTAGTTTTCTCACTTAAAAAAGTTTTCCTCTTTCTCTTTTACTCCGCAGGAGTGCGCGGGGGGGGGCAAAAGACAAGAGAAAGGGGAAAACAAGCAAGGCTAGAAAGAAAACACCGGAGGAGCCAGGGGCGCGACTCCTAAAAACCAAAAAATGAAGAGCTTGCTTATCCGTAGGATTACTAAAGATAGAAAAGGAAGCTAGAGAATATTTAGGCTTTCATTTTTCCTAAGCGTGTTCTCTCCCCTTCTCTCCATGCAACCAAGAGAGAAAACCAACCCAAGTTATAAAAAGTATTATAATTAGCTTAACTACAAAATGAAAAACAGATAGCTTACTATTAATTTTTAGTCTAATATTCTAACTGAGAAATAGGAGGGATATTAACAGTATAAAGCTCTACCATTAAGCTATAGAGACCTATCTTTAGGAGACAAGAGATTCGAACTCTTAAAGCTGCTTTAAACTACTGAGTTTACAGCTCAGCCCTTCTTACCAAATAAAGGGAGTCTCCTTTATTTATTCTTTTTTAACATATTTGTTAATCTATTTATTAAAATTTTTAACTCTTTTTTTAGACTTTTTTCCTTCACGTATAATTTGCATTTTTAGCTAATTCATCTAAAGTTACCAATTGATGTTAAACATTAGGTAGTAAATTTTGTGAAAATGCAAAGATTTTCTCCGGCTCCCCTCCTTCGGAGGGGTAAAAAAAAAAAATAAAAAATAAAATCTTAAATAATCTTTAAATGATAAATAAATTATATTTAGTAATCCTACGGATAAGCAAGCTCTTACTTTTTTTTTTTAGTTTTCTTTTCTTGACCCTGCAACTCCCCAGGGGGTCAATAAAGAAAACACCGAAGGAGTAAAAAAAAATAAGGCTTGCCTTATTTTTTTTTTCGCAAAGCGCCCCGAGACAAGCTCTAATTAACTCTAGTATAAACATATCTCGAGAATGTAGAGTTATATTACAACAAATTTTTACACCAAAACCTTTACAATAACTTTTATCTAAACTAACGGAAATCCTGAAACAAGTAAAAAAAAGCAAAATAAATCATAATTATAACTTATTCACATATTAATATTATTTAATATTTTACGGCCTAATTTTTTTACAGCATCTGTAAAACCTGTGACGAATCAAGGATCTAAAGCCAAATTTTGATACGAGTATCTACGCTTAATAATATCTAATGTACTTACCAACCGATTACCGGGCTCACGAGGAGTATTACAGTATGGCCTGCGAAAATAAAAAAGTATCGGCAATATAAGTGCAAAGTGCGCAGCAAGAAGCAAAGACAAGATATGAAACTATAAACAACATATGAAAAATTCTGCCACAAGCAGCGGTAGATGAAAACAATTTTTGTAAGGCCCCTTTCTTTCTAGCGTAAAAGGTACTAAACTCCCATCATATACATATAAATAAACTTCTCATCATAAACCTGTTCTAGAATTGCACCAGAGATAACCCACCTAAAGTGTACATATCAGCTCTTAGCTACAGGCTTTTTTTTTTTGGTTAAATTTCATTATTCCCGTGCAACTTCCACTACACGAACCGTATTTCGCAAATCTACCTTTTTAGCCTTTCATTTACATTTTCTAATCCAGCAAATCACACAAAACATGCTAAGTTTGATACAAAAAAATGTAAGAACCCCTAACTACCCTACTAAAAGGAAAGGATCGGGCTATGACATAAGGCAGAGTTAAGGTCCTTCTCCCTAAGTATTACTAATAATACCCATTTAACAGACTCATGTAAATCAAGATAGGTGCAAATACTACCTCACAAAGTCCTGCAAGCTTTCACCTGGGGTTTGACTATATCTTAAGCGCATACTAAACTGTAAATAATAAGCGCCAACCTACATCTAGTCGATGAACTGCACACCTAAATCAAATAACAATAGAAATTAGAAGTCAGGTGCTTGGCTGCGGATAACCCATTTGCTCACGTGCATCCCTCTCGATTTTACCATACCACGAGTCATTACCTGTGCCACAAAATATGTTACCATATTCGCTTGGTTAAGAGGGCTATTAGGGTGTCCCCGCAATTTGAAGGTTTATAGCAAGAGGTTCACTCTTACAAGTAAGCCAGAAAAGATTTCTCAAACCACTTCTTTCGACTTAACACTAATCAGAATTGCGCATACGAAGAATCCTACTATAACTTTTTTTTAAATCCTATCATTTACTTACTTATAATAAGAGAGCAAACTTATTGCACCAACTCTTTTCAGCATGTGACGAGTGATTAGTACCAATCCAAAGTATTATTCACCGTGACGTGGTGATTCACGATTACTAGCAATTTCTTATTCATGCAGCCGAATTTCAGGCTACAATCCATCCCCATTTTTTATCCTATTTTTTGAGATTAGCTCATACTCGCATAATCGCTTCTCTTTGTCTCAATTCCTCAATTTTTTCATAAAGCAAATTAAAAGTATACTGTTACTACTGCCTTTATAGTTATTAATAAAACCTACTATGATCCGGCCGATCTTCCTCGGTTAATTCCGGCTTTCAACTGAAATATTTTGTCTAATCCTTCTTTGGAAAGATGGCCTTTATTTTTTATTATTTCACCAGCTTTACATCAATCTTCAAAATCCAGGGATTTCACACCTAATACCTTATAGTTTAGGAAAAACGGGATAATTAGCTCTTGAATATCGGAAAATTTTGTTACATTAAAATTAACCTTAGTTCCATTATGCTTTTCATTCACCACTAATCTCCCACACCCAAAGTAAGAGACTAAACTTCTAATAAGCTCCACATCCCTATTATTTTGAGTGATTTGGAAAGATAGTTGTACACCGATTCCTAATTTAGTACTTCGAGTAACGCTTGTCTTGATCATGAAACAACCCTCACCACTTACAAAACCCGCTACCCACTGAGGATCCGATATTTGGCCATCTACAATTGTTCTGGAAACAGGGACAACATTTGGAAAACTAGCCTTTAACACCTCCGATAGTAAACCTTTATTCATAGACGCTTTCAACTCTACAATTTTCTTAATAAATACTTCTTTGTCCATATTTTTTTTAGAGTTTATTAAATTAATAGCCTCTTTAAAAAGTAGGTAATCTGAATACTTCTGAGTTATTAAAGGGTAATTATCGAAATGAGGTATAACTCTGTCATTTATTTGTTCTATTGAGCTTATGGTATACTGAAAACTATCTTTTCCATGGGTGTTTATACCACCCGCCCCTCCAAAATATTTTTTTATTTGTTCCATTAGTTCTAGATCTTTTTTATGGAGAGAGATATCAAATCTAGCTTCTACATACCAGGAGTTATTTCTATTTCTAACTTGTAATAAAAAACACCCCTCGGCATCCGTAAACCCTGTTATAAATCAAGGATTTATCGGTGCAATAGGTAATCCTGCAAAAGTAGATAGAGGTGTTGTAATTGATTCTTTATAAGATGTAGAATATTTTCTAGTTGCATTAATAGACACAAGATGTCTACTAATTTCATAGCTAATAATAGTCACGTTAAACAGGCCGCTACTTAACTTAGGTATGTACGCACATAATTTCATAGTCATTATATATATATTTTACTCTTACCCCCGTGGGGGAATTTTACGTAAATTTCCAGATTTGAACTGGATCTTGGAGGGTGAACTCCCTATTTTACCAAAAACTATACTCTTAAAAAAGTATATATAGAAAATACTCAACTAAATATGTCATATCTTTCATATCGTTCATATCTTTTTGAGAACTTCTATTGCTATAAATCCCTAAGAGTTAAAAAAACATACTGCAAATACACTAACTTAAAAGTAGCATTAACAATTTTACGGATAATTTACTTATTAGAAAGGACATTGATTCAAGGGTCCCTCTCAGAACCTATCAGAATACACCTTAACATTGGTACATTTCTTCGTTCAAATGTATTAAATCCAATGCAACTACCATCTACTCGTTGCTCTTTTACAATAACAGATTCCGGTCAACTGGTGAGAATGAAATCTGCTATTGACTTAGATCCGCGATATTCCATTGCTCTTTCGAGCATCTCTTGACTTGTTACCATACACAGTAAATTAGTCTGCCCACATATAACCTTTCGATTACAGCTTGGTATCAAGAGCTTTAGGAGGTTCCCGGAGTTTGATAGTTATTCCCACCTAGTCGGCATCCTACACCGACCAGTAGGAAGATGTGGCACGTCTATAGCCCACAATATTAAGGCCATGATGACTTGTCTTATTCCCCTTTGTCCTGACCATTGTAGAAGGGCCAGGAGATGCTCTATTTTAATAATTTAACAAATAAAGCCGAGGTATTCATTAATTCCACGGACGAATCCGCAGTTTCACAACATTAACTGGAAACAGCCGTGCAACGCTTGTTCAACTAATCGCTTAGTCTGACTAATTTGTTAAACAAAACAAATTATATTCAAATTGTGGTAAGGTTTTTCGCGGATCATCGAATTAAATAGTTAAGATAGGTAGATCTTCTCAGATTTTCCCCCTTTAAGAACCGTACGTGCGATTTTCACCGCATACGGCTCAAGCATAAATTTTTACAGGAGAGATTCTCCAAACAAAAGAGAACAAAAAACTTTTCTCTTTTGTCAATTTACACCGTATGTTAAGTTAGCGATATTAAGATACAATACCTAAACTATAATTATAGTTTA